CGGTCACGAAAAAAGACAAAAAAGGAAAAAAAAAAAATAGATTCAGTTTTAAAAATTAATATTTATTACTATTGTAATGATTTTATTTAACTTCCATTTTGGAAAAATGGATAGAGTTGTTGTTTCATATGAATTTTTAACTCCCATCTCCCCCATCTACCTAATAAAATAAGACAAATTCAAATCAGGTTTGTTTTGGGGCTGCCCAGTTAGCTCAGTTGGTTAGACTGTGGTATTGATAACTCCAAGGTCAAGGGCTTGGATCCCCCTACCTGCCAGCCACTCCAAAAAAAAAAAAATCAGGTTCATTTTGTTTGTTTTTATTTATTTATTTTTTAGTGGGTGGCCAGTACAGGGACCCAAACCCTTGACCTTGGTGTTACAACATGGCAGTCTAACCAACCGAGCTAACCATCCAGCCCCTTGTTTGGTTTTTATTTTTATTTATTTATTTTTTTGTCTTTTTCTGTGTCCGGCAACGGATCGCAACCCTCAGTGNATAACTCCAAGGTCAAGGGCTTGGATCCCCCTACCTGCCAGCCACTCCAAAAAAAAAAAAAATCAGGTTCATTTTGTTTGTTTTTATTTATTTCTTTTTTAGTGGGTGGCCAGTACAGGGACCCAAACCCTTGACCTTGGTGTTACAACATGGCACTCTAACCAACCGAGCTAACCATCCAGCCCCTTGTTTGGTTTTTAAATCACTAATTTCAGCATTATGTTAGTGGCATATTTACAAAAATGATAAACAGAAAAAAAAACTGCACAACACATGAGGATCATATCATTATCCTCTGGCACAAAAACAACCTTGAGTATTCACCTCTACCAGTCATCTGACCTTCATTTTTTGGCTTACAGAAAGCCTCCTGTTACCAGCACTCCTAAAAGCTTCAAGGGCTGAATGCATATGCACATAAAAAGAAGATATATCTTATTAACAGGAGTAAATGTAGTTGCCACTTCCATGGTGCACTGAGACAAACATGCTGACATAAATAAGAACCCAAGACTTTTCCTTGCTTTTCTTATTTTTATTTTCTTAAAGGGCCGTAAAGAGAGTTTTGCTTCCTTCTGTCTTCACTTCATTTCACTCCTTACTTTCCCTAGACACTCAGTTGTAACAGATCTGCCAAGGCCGAGACGAATACAGAGATAAAAGAGAGAATCAGAAACTTACTTGTTCATTGGATCGAGAGAGACAGCTCTTTATGACTTCTGTTTCCAGAAGTGCACGCTTATTAATCTCCATGTGTTCATAGTACTTAGAAAGTCGGGTCTGCCCTTGTTTATTCACCATGAGGAAAAATTTTATCATTTTTTTTNATAACACTAAGCACTAAGGTCAACGATTCAATCCCTATACTGGCCAGCCACCAAAAAAAAAAAGATTTTGAGCTTTTATGGTCAATGTAGACAAGATTTACAGAAAAGCTTTTCTTTCCTTAGTGGTAGGAAATGTAGCAGTTACATCAACTATTTGTCAAATTCTTCTAACAAGGCCCTATAACAAGTCCTATAAGGTCCTACGTTAAATGATTTACATATATTATTTAATCCTCACAATTCTTACATGCAGGTATTGCTGTTTCTTCATTTTAAGGCCAAAGTGAACTTCAGGGATGTTAAGACACCCAAAGTCACTGCATCACTTTATGTCAGAGGTGATCTGCAGCTCAGAGGCCATGCTATGACACCCCCTAACTCATCCTCATCATTCAGGGGTTCATGCTTCTAGTTTTATTTCTAACTCAGTTGTATTGAATATCATGATTGTCCCTCTTATACTCAATACAGATTTTGGAATAATCCACGCAAATGAGCACAATATTGACCAGTCTTTCTTTCATCATGAAAATCAGTACAAAAGACCAAGGTTAACAATGGTTCTTAAATAAACTTTCAAAATTTGGAATAACCTTAGATTTACAGAAAAGTTGCAAAGATAGCCATTGTTGGCATCTCACATTACCATGGTACATTTATCAAAACTAAGAAACCAATACTGGTACATTATTATTAACTCAACTCAAGACAATTTTTCCATTAATGTCCTCTTTTTGTTCCAGGATCCTGTCCAGGATACCACATTGCATTTAATTGTCATGTCTCTTTAGTCTCTTCTGGTCTGTGACAATTTCTCAGTCTTTCTTTGTTTTTCATGACCTTGACAGTATTGAGGATACTGGCCAGGTATCCTGCAGACCGTCCCCCAACCTGGGTTTGTCTGATGTTTTTCTTATGATTAGACTTTTGAAAAAAATACCATAGAAGTGAAGTGCTATCGTCATCACATTGTATGAGAGGGTACATGATATCACTGGGGATGTTAAAGGGTAAAAATACTTGAGTTCTCTTCCTTAAGTACACAGTATTAAAGACCCTTNTTTTTTTTCTTCTGATCAGTATTTTTCCAAATATATTTCAAAAGTTGTGGCAATGGATGGCTGCAACTGGAACCTGGAAGATAAAAGAATAACAGAAAGGCAAGATCAAATTTCTCAAAGAATCATATTAAATCTGTTCTATAGATGAACCAACCAGAAGTAAAGAAAATATATCTGATCACTCTGGTCCCATGCTGGCCGGTTAGCTCAGTTGGTCAGAGTGTGGTGCTATAGCACCATAGTCAAGGGTTCAGATCCCCATATCGGCCAGCTGCAAAAAAACTGTCTCACTTCTGAGGCACAATGAAAGTTGAACATTGGTCTTCACTCCTGTGATCTAAATAAGGCGTTAATAAATAATGACCAAACATAAATTTTCATTAGTTATCCTCCAAAATGATTTTGAGCATCCACAGTACTTCTACTCATATCATTCAATCTATTCATCAGTTTTGCTGAATGCCAACTATGTGTCAAGCACCAGAAGAATGCAGAGATGAAGGCGTAACAATTTCTGATTTTCTGATTTTTACATCTGCCAAAGGTGCTAGATAGGTAAGCAAATAACAGCAGTCCAAGGTGATGAGTTATAACTGGGACAGGCACACACCCATAGGTGTACAGAGGGAGGGACAAGGACTGTCACAGGAATGTGAAGAAAGACTTCCTAGAGAAGAGGCATTGAAACAAAATAAAGAGTGATCAAGAGGGGAGACTCTGAGGCAGAGAAAACAGGGGTAGGAAAGTAGAAACTGCACTGTGGTTGCAGTTCAGGGGGCAGTAAGAATGGCTGCAGGAAACTGAGGCTTCACATATGTTGAAATTGGCTTTAGAAGTCATGCTAAGACCAATGGGTACAAAACACAATTAAACAGGAGGAATAAGTTCTGATGTTCTAGTGCACACAGCAGGTGACTGTGGTTAACAGTTGAGTTTTGTATATTACACAGTAGCTAGAGGAAAGGCTTTTGAATGTTTTCACCACAAAGAAATAATAAATGCATCAGGTGATGGACACATGAATTACCCTAACCCGATTGTTATACTACATATATATGTATCAAAACATCAGATTGTACCCCATAAGTATGTACAATTACAATGTGTTAATTAAAATTATTTAAAAAAATTTTTTTTAAACGGAGAAGTCATGCTAAGAAATTTGAGCTGTAGGGCTGGCTGGTTAGCTCCATTGGTTAGAACGTGGTGCTGATAACACTAAGCACTAAGGTCAACGATTCAATCCCTATACTGGCCAGCCACCAAAAAAAAA